TGTAACCGTGAGATAAAGGGCTAAATTCTGGGAATAGTAATCGGTAGATACAGGTGTGGGATTGGGCGGAATATTCGTGGGAGAAATAGTGGGATTGGGCGGAATGGTTTCGGAAGTACCGGAAGAGACGGTAGGATTTCCTTGGACGCCGGTCGTCGCCAACTTATACGACATCATCAGAAAATAGAAAAAAAACACAAGGCTCTGATACCATGAAGGTTTTTTTAAGAAGAAAAATATTCACTCTTCTAATTTTTCAAGAGAGACAATTACAAGATAAATATTAGAGGAAGGCCACCAAATCAGGAAGCCCATAAATTCAGCAAATCAAATCAGCAAAACTCTAGGCTAGAAAATAGGAAACAGAAACTACTAAAATCTGAAATAGTAGTTTCAGATTTTATTTTCTAAAATTGAATTTCCTAATTTATAACCTAGAAATCTGACATTAAGTTTATTGATCATTGTTCTAGGAATCGGAAACAAAGACATAAAATATGTAGGAAGATTAGAGAGGGTGCTTTTCAACAATATGAGTTTACACCCTTTCGACAAGTATTGCTTCTTCCACCCAGATAACCTCTTTTGAAATCGTTCCACTACTAGATCCCAAACGACAACTCTCCTCGTAGAAGAACCCAAGGGCAGCCCCAAATATGAAAGCGAAAAAGACTCCACTCCGTAACCCAAAATAGCTGCCAAATCATGAATATGATCCACCTCCCCCACTGGAACAATCACACTCTTGCCAATGTTAATCTTCAGCCTCGAGACAACTTGAAAACAGGCCAGTACACACCTCAAATGCCTCTAATGAGTTACACTCGCATCGCAAAAAACAATAGTGTTGTCAGCGAACAGTAAGTGAGACGTAACAATCTGGTTGGTGCACGCCCCACCGAAAAACCTTGGATAAAGCCTAGTAACTCTGCCCTTTTCATGAGTCAGCTAAAGGCTTCGATTACAATAATGAAGAGAAAAGGGGACAAAGGGTCCCCTGACGTAACCCTCTCGAACTTGCGAAGAAATCTGCTGGTGACCCATTCACTAAGATAGAGAAACGAGCCGTCGAAATACATTGATGAATCCACCCTCTCCATTTGGTTCCAAACCCCACCCTATCCAAGAAATACAATAAGAACACCCAATTCACATGGTCATAGGCTTTCTCAATATCCAATTTACACACAATCCCCGGCTCACCACTCTTGACTCTTGCATCAATACATTCATTAGCAATAAGAACCAGGTCAAGAATTTGCCTTCCTCTAACGAACGCATTTTGAGACTTCGAAATGACCCCATCCAAAACTTTCCTTAGCCTAATAGCCAGGATCTTCGCAATAATCTTATAAACAGAGCCCACCAAACTAATTGGTCTGAAATCCTTAGCTTCTACCGCTTCACCCTTTTTAGGTATAAGGGTAATGAAGGAGGCATTCAAACTCTTCTCAAAACAACCTTCCTCAAAGAAGGCATGCAATACTCTCAAACCCGTCTGGACCCGGAGCTTTATCTTCGTTATAGCTCCTTAGAGCTTCCAGCACTTCCTCCTCCCCAAAAGGCCTTCCAAACCCACCCAATCCTCATATAAATTGTATCAAGCTCAATATCATCCAACCATGGTCTCCAAGAGACAAACTCTGTGAACAACTCTTGGTAATATGCCACAAAACCTCTTCGGATCTCCTCTTCAGTTTCAGCCATAACTTCATCAAAACTTATCCTCCCAATGTTGTTCCCTCTTCTATGAGCGTTAGCTAAGCAGTGAAAAAATTTAGTATTCCGATCACCTTCTTTAAGCCACAGATCTCCACGAAACTTCCTCCATCACTATAGTCTCTTCAAACTCAGCCTTACACTCCTCCCTTCTACCCCTTTCCAACCCAGAAATCCCCTCAACACCTTCCTTCCTCTCCAACTTTGAAATTTTCATAAAGAGCTGATTTTTCCGCCACTCCAGCTTGCCAAACACTTCCTTATTCCAGACCTTGATGTCTCCCTTTAAGCGTCTCAACTTAGATGCCAATTGAAAACTTGGATTACCCCTAACATCATAAGCACACCACCATTCTGGACCCTTTCTTTGAAATCTCCCACTCGTAGCCACATGTTTTCAAATCTAAATGGGGATCTTCCTCTCGTAATCCCTCCACAATCAAGCAAAATAGGAACATGATCAGAGATTGCCCGCGCACACGCCACTTGAGACAAATCCAGAAACTTCTCCTCCATCTCCACTGAAATGAGAAGTTATCCAGCCGAGAAAAAGGAGGATCACGCCCACTTAACCATGTGAATGTGCCTCCCACCATGGGAAGATCCAACAAACTGTTAGCTTCCACAAAATTAGAGAAATCAGCCATTGCTCCATCCCACGCACCCCTAGAAGATCTCTCACTTGTGTTAAGGACGGCATTAAAGTCTCCCCCAACACACCACGGAACCCCCCATTTGCTTCTAATGATACCTAGCTCCTCCCACATCTCTCTACGCGCCACATCACCTACAGGCCCATAGACCCCCGAAAAACACCACTTCGAACCATCTTCCTTAAACTCAAATAGTACTGATAATGAATGCCTCCCTTTCCAAACATCAACCTTCGACACCCATCTCCTATCCCAAAGATCCCAAAGAACAACAATGCCCCCAGAAGTCCCCTCCGCATCAATAACCTCCCAATCCACAAATCTACGTACTCTCCATTTCCGAATCAACGCCTTCACCACCTTCCTCTTTCTCGGGTCATTTAGTCCCTGAACATTCCAAGACACAATATTGAGCTTCATTGACAAACACCGAGACTTCCACTCTCCCTCCTTCCCCCACTCCTCTTCACTCTCCCTACTTCACTCCTTCCCTCATAATTGACTTCAGAAAACAGGCTTTTCAACTCCCTCACCCCTTTCAAAACTGGCAATCTCTTCTCCTCCTTCCTCACATAATTTGGGATGAATTCTTGAAGTGTACTACAACTGCTAGGCGATTGTTGGAAGAAAAATTAAAGTTGATTACACTTGTACTTCAAGATATATGTTCCACCGAGTTTTGCAAACCTACCCAATTTCAAAGGACCTCTAGAAAAATCCATGTTTATTATGTGAGTATATTATTTGTTAGTATAAGAATAACGTATTTGATTCGAGTTCGGAAAAGAAGAAAGAATGGATGGAAAGCCATGCTCGGATTTTTGATTGATCGTGGAAAATTGCTCCAAACTCGAGGGCAAGTTTTTTTCCAGCATGGGGAGACTGATGCAGGCAGAATTTCAAATTTGTGCAAGTGGAATTTGTGTTTTTCAGAAACTTTTCATATTTTGAAAGTTTCCTTATTTTGAGTAGTTTTCTGATTTTCATCGGCTTTCCTTTTTACAATCTTTGGCTTACCCCTACGCTCCCGGGTAATCCGTAGTTGCTCCCACCAAGCCGATGCCATTCCTTTCAAATGGATAGCAATGAGCTTGACCTTTTTGTGAACAGGAGGTACCTCATGGTATTCAAAGATACGTTCAATTGTATTCAGCCAATTGATGAACTCTTCAGGCTTCAAGCTTCCATGAAACTCTGGAACCCCGATTTTGATATGAAATTCTGCCTGCATCACTTCCTATCCAGGTCCATCAGCTTGTTAAAAAAAGACAATGAGCTGAAAAGATAATGTGTTTTACCTTCTTCCTGGAGATGTTAGAGAAGATATCAATACAAGGTAGGAGCAAGAGGTTTTCTCCAATTAGGCAGATAAGGAGGAGCAGGGAAAGAGAGGAAGTAGAGGGAGGGGGGGAGGTGGAAGAAAGAAAAAGGATATAAGAAAAAGAACCATCAACAAACAGTATGAAAGGAGCCATTTTACAGCACATGGTCCTGATGATCCCCGGAAAAGATTTTTGAATAGGAGCTGCTGCACCAGCAGGTGCATTTGCATCCAAGTTAGTAGAGCTAGAAGCGGAATTAGAGTGCAGTATGGGTCGATTTGACACTTGATCTTTATTGAAATTCAGATGTTTGTGTGAGAATCTGTTCTAGAGTGCCTGAACTCATGGAAAGCTGATCCAACACTGTACAAGTAGTGAGTCATTGAACAGCTAAATGTCGGGCCAAGGCAGCAACTATACTACCTTTTTTAATCAAGTATATGTTATTTGGGGGATAGTGGTTTTTCAATAAATTTATATTTTAAGATAATTAAGGATTTCACTTTTGACTTTTATTGAACTTGAAGGAGCGACTGATAAAAACAGGAACCCTATCAAGTTCATATGTTACACTGTTATCATTGGTTCATAGAGCTTGTATATCTCCTGCTACTTTAGCAAAATGTGACTTTTTTGACAATGATGTCATGAAATTGAAGCTATGCTGTGATATTATCCGTCCATTGCAATGGAACATGGCTTTGATACTTCACTTGTTAAATCTGGCTTTTAGATGTCTATCAACATTCACATGACAGTCTATGTTTCACACTACTATTGTGATTGTGGTACCAGTTTGGCTTTGTCAACACGTAAATTGTAGCTGAACTTCTATTTTAGCTACTGAATTTCTGTTTTAGCTACTGAATTTCTGTTAAGTGTAAACCTTCATTGTCATCATCATTATCCTTACCTTCATCCTACATGAATTGAATTAGCAACATGAATTCTCTTTTTTCAATCTATTCTATTACAAGCCATGTCACCTTGTATATTTAAAATTTTAGTCATTTCTAATTATCTCATCTCAAGTGAGTTTTGAGCAACCTCTGTCTCTTACCTTCTATGCAAACTAATCTCCTTACTAGGGCATCTGTGGATCGATGGAATATGTTGCCATACTACCTAACCTGCTTTCTATTATTTGATTATTGATTGGCACTACTACTGTCTCTTCTAGCCTCATGTTGATTATTAGCCTGAATTTATAGAAACATTCATAGGATCTGTTAGTTCGTTAGCTTCTAGTCACTCGAGAATTGTCTGATCCTATGAATTAAATTTTTACGTCCTCCATAATGTTCAGGGAATGTCCTTTGGACTTGAAAGAAGCAATATCAAGTGTCTGTTTTGCTGCACCAAGATGTGCTGATCTGCCAGAGTTGATGCACGTTCATATGTTATTTGCTACCAAATACGGGAAGGAATTCGTATCAGCTGCGACTGAGCTCATTCCAGAATGTGGTGTCAATCGCCAGGTTAAATGAATTGTTCTTTCTAGACTGCATGTTATTAGTTATTCTTCCTGTATCCTCTTAATAATTTTTTGATTTCTTCTGTAAGTGCAGTTAATAGAATTGCTCTCTGTTCGTGCTCCTGCTCCTGATGTGAAACTGAAGCTACTGAAGGAAATTGCAGAAGAGCACGAGTTGGATTGGGATCCTGCTGCCTCTGAAACAGAATTATTGAAGCCACACGAAGACCTACTGGTAAGTAAGAATTTTTCCTGCCTGGATTTCCACTTATTCTTCATTGCCTAATCTATGTCTTCTCTTTGCCAGAATGGGCCAACACAGTTCGTTAGTGGGTCTAAATTGCTGCTTCCCAAAGAAAAGCATGATGAGACATTGTACTCTGCATTCGAACAAGCCCCCATTGAACAGTCTGATTCTGATGCAGACATCGACCCATTAGATCTTCCTGCAGTTCCCAAGGCATTGGTACGGCCAACTGGGGATACTGTCTCAGCACCAGAAACAACACTCCCTGAGATCAATCATGAATCAGCCAAAAATGATGGAAAGAATGAGAATCTATTACATGAACCTCACTTGGAGCCAGAGGAAGTGTTGCAGGAGACATCAGTTGCAACTAAAATTGAATCTCCCAATACTGCAGTTTGTCCTACGGAAGAGAAGCAGTTTGTGCCTTTCATATCTCCTCCATCACTGTCTTCTAAATCATTTTCCACCAAACAAAGTGATCCGCGTTCCTTCCTTTCAAGGACCAAAAGTGAGGCCAACGTAGATTTGCAGGATGTATTGGCTGCTGCACAGGCTGCAGCTGAAACAGCTGAACGGGCAGCTGCTGCTGCTCGCTCAGCTGCCAGTCTTGCTCAGGTAAGAATCAGTGAACTTGTCAGGAAAAAGAGCGAGGAGACCAGTGATTGCAGCACTGAGAATCCGTTCCATGAAGACACTATTCAATCAACTGAGACAAAGATGCCACATCTAGATCATCAAAACTCTTCTGGTTTTTTAAATAGTTTTTCCAATCCCCCAAGCTCTCACCAAGACCACGAAAAACCCCCGGGGCAACAGCCATCTGATGTTCCTACATATGACAATCCCAAAGTTGAATTTGATTCTTTTCCCAGCAATCATGTTCTTGGACATGAGCCTGAATACAGCCAGTTTCAGAGGTTGACCTCTTTGGACGATGAGACCGACTTCTCGTACCCAAACTTGTTTGGATCACAGGATTCAAATCTCGGGTCTGGTGTTCGTCCATCAACAGATAAGTCTTGATCAACCCATGAACTTTGAGTGGGACTTTCTATCAATCATACAGCTCTCTGTAGCTTATGTCATGCGTATTCTATATTGTGCAGTAAATTTTCTATTGCCAAATTATGGTACCAGTTTGAGTGTTGTGGCTGCCTTTGTGTTCATGAAATGTAGGGTTAAGAACATTCAACTGCTTCTGCAAAAGATGAGCCATCCGGGGCGGTTTGTTGTTCATCCTAAGTGAGCTTTTAGGAACATTTGATGTGTAAAATGCCTTAATTTATAGATGGGAATAAGGTTTTCTTCATTCCTTTCACAGGTATGTTTTTTTGTGATTATCTTGGTATAAATAAATTCTCATACAACATGATGTAAAATATATCTCACCATATTTCAGTAACCAGCAATAGCCTTTTGTTAACGAAATTCAATTATTTTGTTTTGAGGAATGTGACTTGTGAAGAAGATTACATTAATGAGTCAAACTTTTATTTCTTTTTATTTTGACTTCATTTTACTAAATTAATCTATCATCATCTTTAACCATCTCATCATATACTTTTATTTTATGATTTTTTTTAGAGAGGATTTTTAATGTTATTACATGATGAAATAAATCGTGCACCGTTATTTCTGTCGAAAATGTGTTACTCATGATAGATTTTTCCAAATCTACACAAAACATGTGTTGGAGGTGCCTAATACTTATCCATGGACAATCGGAAGTAGTTTCCTAATTGCAAAGTACAAATGAAAGTTTTTAAAATAATGTTTAGGTACTCTATTAATTTAAGTAATGGTGTAAATTAATTTACATACTTTTTAATTGATTATGACATCTAAGCAATAGAAAGAAGTTTCCTTTAGCGAATGAAAGTTCTTGTCTTATTTTTTTTATTTTTTTTATTTTTGTAGGTAAATTGCACTCACCCCCCTTGAGTTTTGGGTCAACGTCACTCAGCGGATGGTCAATTCATTAGTTTAGATTGACACTCTCTGAGGTTTCAAAAGTCATATTTATTCCCTGAACTTGTTAATTGACAAAAGTAATCCTAACCCTAACCCTGTAATCCCTCACACCCACCACCGCTCTGTAATCCCACACCCACACCCACAGACAGCAACCCCTTACCACACCCACAGACCGCCACACATGGCCACACCCATCGCCCACCACAACCACCGCCACAACCAACAAATAATTCGCAATCACACAACGCCACACCCACAGCCAAAGCGTCGAAGAGAAGTTGTTGCCCTTGGATGAGCCACCGTCACGGCCGATTCACTCAACCTAGTTGCCAGAATCGATGGCGTCGAGCGATGGTGGTGTTGTCTAGTGATGTTAAGGTGTGGTGGCGGCGATAGATTCGGCGATCTTGGCCTGGTCGGAGTTGGTGACTAAGATAATTTGATCCACCACCGAAGCATTTGGGCAAGTCCGACCTTGAGTGAGAATGGGTTCGTATAGGGTTAGGCTTGGTGGTGTGTGTGGGTGCAGCTATGGTGGTGGTTATGGTGGGTGGGTTCATCTTGGTGGTGTGTGTGTGCGGAGGTAGTTATGGTGGGTTCGACTTGGTGGTGTGTGTAGGTGTGGTGGTGGTTATGGTGGTGTGTGGCGGTGGTGGTTGTGGGTGACAGTGTGGTTATGGTGGTGGTTGTGGTGGGGTCGTCTTGGGTTTGGTTTAGTGGTGTGTGTGTGTGCGCGCGGTGGTGGTTGTGGTGGTGTGTGCGTGCGACAATGGTTGTGGTGGTGGTGGTTCTGATTATTGGTGGTTATGGCGGTGGTAAGGTGGGTTTATCTAATTCGCGATGGTTGGTTGTGTATGGTGACAGAGAGGGTATAGGATGAAGGGGGAGGCTATGGTGGGTGGTGTATAGTGACAGAGAGGGTATGGGATGAAGGGGGCAGCGATGGTGGGTGCTGTAGTGACAGGTTACATGGTTAGAGAGAGATTGAAAATTGAAGGTCATTTTGGCCTTTCAAAACTTATTTTTAGTGTTATATTAGTAATTTACTATTTGTTGACCAAATCAAATGTTTAGATGGTCATTTTCTTATGTAGAGGGAGTGTGTGTAAACTTTTGAAATCTCAAGGGTATAATGTGTTGGCACCAAAAATTGGCAGCCATCTTAGCGATGATGTGGATGAATTAAATAGCGACAAGTGGCCTTGACATGGCGCCAAAAGAAGACCACTTTGGAGACAATGTGAAGAAATAAAATGGATTGCACTTGGGGCTACTATAATTATGGAGAAGTTGACAAAGAAGTTATATTTAAGGAGTGTGAAGTTGACTTATTCAAATAAGGTAATAATGCGTCAGCAAGAGAAGTACAAATGACCCAGGATACTATTGTGAGTCAATAACTAAAGACCTTAGCAAGAGGGAGTCAAAGATAAGGGATGATATGTGTCACGTAAGGAGCAAATTTAGCTACAATTTGTTGACCTAATTTAATTTCAAAAAGGAAGGAATCAAGGCAAGAGAGATTTTTTAGCAAAAAGTTAAGAAAATAAGTTGAGAGAAAATTATATAAATAAGAAAGTTTGTAATCTTTCCAAACTGTCTAGCACCACCCACAAAACATGAATTTCATATTCAATTGACTCAACGTCATTTTATCAAATTTTTATTTCTTTTGTCCAATGACAATTTTCATTCAAAGAATCTAAGTTGCAGTAACCTATTTTTTTTTTTGCAATGCTTTAATTATGCTATTTCATTTCAAAATGTTTGTTTTATTCAATTGAATTAAATGGTAATCTTTGATTAGATTTCTGTCATCTAAATTCAGCTAGTTTATCTCACTTCATTATTTTCCATGCAATTTTCATTCAACCAGTTCTTTTAAAGTCTATTTCCATTTAGTCGTTTTCCTTTAAAGTCAATTTAAATTCAGCCAGTCATTTAAATTCCTTTACTTTAAATTGCATTTTTATTATTTTAAATACTATTATAAAAAGTCCTTGCATCAAGGCAGAAAAAGAATCTAGCCGAGAGTTCTTCTTATTCTCTCTCTTTCATAATTGCTTGAAGTCGGCCACCAAAAGAAATAATTTGGCGTTCAATCATTTTTGAGTATTTACAAGTTTGGTATTCAATCAATTTCTAGTATTTACATACTCTGGCACGCTCGCAAACTCCATCGGCCTTATGAAGCTAAAAAATGCGTGAACATAAATTGGCACGCCCGGTGGGACCCCACTTGGTGTTAAAATATATGCAATGCCGCGGCCGAAGAACTCTAAGGTCGCAGCCACAAACGATGATTCGGAAGAATAACACTAGCCAACTCAGGTTGGTAGCTCTACTTTAGGGCCTGTGGATGAACTTGCTATACAATCAAAAGTATCAATGGTTCAAACACAGGTGTGCTTTTTGTTAAAGGCGATTGGAAGAATAAGTGCACTTCAAAACGACCTGTACGAAACAATATCTTAGCTTTCAGCTACCATTATGAATAGGCCGGCTCAAGTTAGGAGCTTTAACAATCAGGAATCGGCCACTCAGCTGTTTTAGTCGCAATTTGTTCAGCTGCCAGTGGCTGCTGAGCCATCACAACCCTGGCCACCTATGGCTCTACTTCATCTAAGCACGACAACAAGTTTACCACTAAATTTGTCATCAGTTTGGGCAAAGAACCAATCGCAACCAACTATTTCAATTTTCCAGCATTCGCCAATGACGAATCAGCATCAGCGGCCACAGGTAATTCCTTCGAACCGTTCTCGGGTACCCTTTAACTCGGGGGGCAATCAGATTAGGTGGAGGGATATAAATCCACTCTATTCTCATATACTACAACCTTTAACACTCGAGGGGTAGCTGATGGCTAACCAGCCAAAAGATTGGCCGAATTATAATCAGCCACCAGCGGAAAATCATCTGCTAGTGGTAAATCAGTCACAACCAGAAGATTGGCCGATTTATAATCAGCCACCAGCGAAAAATCAATCGCCAGTGGTAAATCATTCACAGCAATGTTGGCCGATTTACAATCAGACACATGCGGTAAATCAGCTGCAAGTGGTACATCGGGCAAAACCTTTTAACTCAGGGGGCAACTAGGTAAGGTGGAGAGCTCCAAATCCACTTTATACTCAAGAACCACCACAATCGGGACTCGGGGGCAGCCGATGGCTAATCAGCTAGAAGGCTGGCCGAATTATAATCAGCCACCAACAGAAAATTAGACGCCAGTGGTAAATCAATTGCAACAAGAATGGACAGAGTATCATCCTACTGCTCATGTACTACAACATTTAAAACTCGGGGGGCAGTAGATGACATATCAGCTAAAAGATTGGTTGAATTATATTTAGCCACTATAAGAAAATCAGTTGTCAGTGGTATACAAGCCAAAACCTTTAGTACTCGCGCCCGGGGGGGGGGGGGGGGGGGGTGTGCAGTCAATGGCCAATCAGCCACCAACGGTAAATAAGCCACTTATGGTAAATCAAGATCGACCAGTCGTTGATCAGTCCAATCAGCCAACGACAGTTGATAAGGTTTAGCTGGTTGATAGCAAGAATATGGTAATGGCCTTAGGGGAATAGGCCGACCAATGTACAGAAAGCCATATCCGGACATATATGACTTGATTAAGTTTTCTAAAGGATACAATGTCCCTAACTTTGTGACTTTCAGTGGTGAAAGAAACCAATTAGCAGTAAAACACATCGGCCGCTTCACAGTTTAATGTGGTGAGGTTGGTACAAACCTTTGGTTGAAGATGAGGCTTTTCTCAAACTCTTTGAGAGGGGTAGCCTTCGCGTGGTATATTAATCTGCCACTGAATTCCATTTTTAGTTGGCAACAGATGGAAGAAATATTTTTCACTCAATTTTCCCTTACCAAGCCAAAATCAGCCATATGTGACACTCGAACATCTACCATATCGGCAAAAAAGGGAGCGGATGATATTGGAAAAAAGGTAACTGAAGATGACACTTTGAAGTTCTCCAAAAAGCTGTCGGAAGTTATGGGGGTCGACAATGATCTTTTAATAGTAGGTAGTAATGCGATCAGCCAGGCTCCCAAAGAGAAGGTTGATGAAGGGAATCAGCCTAAGGTTGCTGAGAGTACATCATCAGCCACTCTAAATGACAAGGTTATGGAAGAATTAAAAGAATAATTGCGAGAAACCCAGTTTGCTCTCCTACAACATGGTTGCTGCCCTGAATGGAAAGGTATTAACCGAGGTAAAATTAATTTTTTTTCATAAAATAAATTTCCAAACTCGGTCTTCTAAAAGAAGTGTTCAAGAGAGATTCACTTTTCAACAAAGTAAAAGAATTGCTGGATCAAATCGGCCTGATTACTAGAATGCTTGGCCGAGAGTGATATCTAATCCTCAGCCAGATCCGTTATTGGCTGAAAGTATTCTTTTAGCTCGTTGTCCTCAACCTAATTTCAGGAAAAGAAAGTGGGGATGGCAACGAAA